GCTTTTCTTCATTCATATTTAAAACGATTTGAAGGTTCGAACAGAAATAAACGAAATCTAACCTACATCATGCGACTTGAGCCAGCTAGCGTACTCGAAATACTGACAAACCCTTCAATATTTGCATGTTTGTGGAGGTGTGCTGGTTCGCCGGTGCGCACATTAGGTCGGACCAGCACGACCAGGCATAAATATTGCTGGTCATATTTGTCCCTGACCGACACGACCTGTTTTGACGGTCGTGGCTTGTGGCGGTACGTGCTGGTGCTGGTCTAGTGTGCTCTACTCTATTAAATAACACGGTCACCTTCACCGGTAGATTCTACTGGTCTGGTCCGTGCCGGTCCGTGTAGGTATAGTGTGCGCGATCTTTAAAGGTATAGATCACAGGGGTTGCTATATACAGTGATTCTATATCAAATACCATAGGATCACCACAACAACCCCCATGCCTTATACCCCGCCACAGGCGCGTAAGTATATACCAAAAACATTATTGAAATGTATTTTTAACTTATGTGTTAACAATGGTGTTTATTAAAAAACATAAAACAAAACAGCAGTAATTAAGCTATTTATGATGCGATTTCCTATAAAAAATAGAGATTAAAGGAAAAAGTTTTCGTTTAAATCAGGTAAACAACCGCTGGTCATCTGTCACAGACATCGGCAAACGTCGGTTTTCATCGTGTAACTTTAAAATATTTACACAGCGGCCATATTGGGGTGTGGACTTTCCTACACCATGTACCCTCATCACCTTCTGATTAAACAGAAAAAATACCACTTTAAAAAGCCTCTATAAAAAATAATAGGTAATTTAGGGTGGAAAAATTAATAATGTTAAAATTTTAAAAATATATACTTGATAAAACCCGATGTTAAGCGATTTAACAAAGTACCTACCTAGTGCAAAAAAATATAACGAAAACAACGGTGAACAAAAATACCTATATGTTATTATAATTTACTATGGAATAAAATTAATTTAAGCTTGAACCATTAAAACTTATAGACGTAGACACTACCCATAGGTTTTACAAAAAAAATAACTAAAATATGTTTTTAAGATTAGCCACGTATTAGCTTTGTAAGGAGGCCCCTTTCTAACGTATTAGATTCTTCAGTACATATCCCACATATCCCACAGCTCACTTTCTTTCTCAAACAATTCCTTTATTCCTGCTAACATGTCCGGCTGGTTTCTATATTGCTGAATTTTGTCCAAAAAATTTATTCGCATCACCGTAACTCGCATGTTACTGTTCAAGTCGCACTTTCTGTCTTCACTTCTTAGGTATTTTGAGATCTTGGTCCTTTTCAAGTCACTGTCACTCACTTGTCCTGTTAAATGCCCAGCGCCTACTTGACTTGGCGGGGCATGAATATGTTCAAAAATTTCTTTAGTTACTGTTGAATTTTCTGTTTTTATTATGGCGAAACAATCGGAATTGCAGCAAACCCAACTCCTCAGAACAGCATCCGTGCGGTCGTCACCAAAAAATAAGTTCTTGTACATGTAGCTTTTGTATAAGAATGTGTCCATCGTTGAATTTTTTTTGATGTACTGGATACAGGTCTTCACTGGACAACTATTTGGATGTAACTGATATCCGTAAGTAGGTAACTTTTCCTTGTTACCTGTTTCATCAGTTGCTGACGAAAAGGGTGGGATTATGTTTGCACCAATGAGGTGAGGGTTAGGTAGAAATTGGGGTGTGTCTAATTTTTGGGGTTAAAAATAAGCCTATAAAAAATAATATTCTCATCAGCGTGTCCAAAGTCATCAAGTCATCATAGTCTCTAAAGGAAAAATAAATCAAGCATATTTAATCCAATCTAATATAAATAATTGAATTAATACTAAAAAAAATCGGAATTCCATTGTCTTTTTTATATTAGCTTTGTAACAGTCAAATTTCCTCGCAACGACCTCTGTGTGCTAGCTCATAAAATATCGCAAATAGCTATTATTTTTGCATCATGTTTACTATAATTTTATTGTTAAATATTATTTTATTTAAATTTTACAATTATGCAACCCGATATACACCGCGCTATAGAGCCACAGAATATTATCACTGGATGCCGCCCAGCATTAGAATCACTTGTCCCTTGTCACTGTCAGATCAAATCAGATGTTTTTGGATTTATTTATCCTTTGTTTTGGTTATTGAAATTTTATAATTATCAGATAAAATTTCGTAGTTAAATTGGTTATTTTTGATGTGGATCGCAGTGTGCAATTCGTTCATTTAATGGTGGGAATTTGTGAATAAGTTCGTTCATTGACCGGACATGAAATATGACAATGAAAAATATTCTAGAACGTCGTTTTTTATTTATGCCTTTTTGTGAGTTGGACTAGTCGAGATATATAGTTCTCTATCTATATCCTGGAGGGAGATTTCCGGTTGAAATCTGATTTTGTGAAGGAAATCGAATCCTTGCATGACTTCTTGTGTATCCACCGACTGAAGAGTGTCGTCGTGAAGAACTGGCTGCCGTTTCGTGAAGCATTTCCTGTTGGTAGTTAACAGGTCTTCCTAGAGAAGGATTAAGGCTTCCGAAACACATTTGGTTAGAGACGTGGTTGGATTTTGTTGATTTGTATGGACCAGCGACCAATTTCCGTAAGGGATTAAATAGCCAAATTTTCCGACCGATATTCCGATTCCACGTGCCCAAGAAGTCCCCGACAGTTCCAAGGTATGCTATAATTCTTCTGCCTATTCTAAGTCAATGCTCAACTGATTTTTGTTCATATTGTTTTCTGGTTTTCGACTTTTCCACGCCCACGTGGTGTAGAAAGATTAGTTGAGTGTTATCTTTCTTAAATCTTATTTGGTTGTTCGTAATTGTAGAGCAAGAAGACCGATCCAGACCGTAGCACAAGAACAGTCCAGAATTCCATCCGTTCCTGTTGCCCGTGTGTAGAGTTACCCGATGGACATCATAAACTCTCGTTGAGGTAAAGTTCAGATTTGATTAGTCCTTCTTTATTACCTTTATTAACTCCTACACGTTGTGCTAGTCCTTGTTCTATAATTGAGGCTCTTTTCTAAGACAACCAATATTATTTAGGGTTTTTTTTATGTTCACCTCTTGAAGTCCTACACCTGGCCGGCATCCGTACGTCTGCTGACATCCGTGGCTCCAGTGACAGTACACCGAGCTGCTGTGCACCGCCGTAGCCACCCTGTAGCTATACAACGTAGCTCAGCCGGAGGAACTCCGAGTTGTTTCAAGATTGTACATCGATTAGAGTAAGACTGTTTAGATTTAGATTTGCTTATTGTAAACCACCCTGTTTGTATCTAGTATTAAGTTAGATAAGGGGGTTTGACGTCATAGGTTTAGTACTTATTGATTTAAATTTCATTTAACTTTACATTTCATTTAACTTCAATTTCATTTCTTTAAATATAAACTTGTTGATATTTTAATAAATTGCTTGAATATTTTTAGTAGTATTATTTACAGTCTGGTCTCATAGTTAAGTTAGAGTCACTTAAGTTTAACGAATTGTAGTAATATTTGAAGTTCATGGTAGTTGCACTCAACAGTTCGAGGTTAGTGTTGAAGTCTACTGGCTGTTAAAATTAAAAAGCTAGTGGCCTCTATGTAACTCATTCAGATTAAGTAAACTTTGTGTTTTAATGAACTTCGAATAAGAAAGGGTGTGGCAAATTTTGGCGCCCAACGTGGGGCCATTCTTAGCACCCAACGCTTAGGGCTGATTTGTTGTATAATTTTTGGTACCCAACCGATCTGGGACCTAGCTGTTTTATTTTAGGACCACTTAAACTAACCGTAGTTTATAGTTGGGACCTGTTGAGTTTTTTTTGAATCGTTTTGATTGAGCTTAGTGACTTGAGTGTAACTTAGATTGTTTTTGAGTTTATGAGACAAGGCTGTAAATATTTTTTTTTATTTAATATTGGATAATATTAAATACATTTATTTTATTTGAAACTTCTCCGGTATACTTTATACTTGCTCTTGGAACATTAAGACATTACCCGATTTAGACATTTTTCTTGATTTTGATATTGACCGGATTTGACTATTGCATTTAGTTGTATACATATATATAATTTTTTTTATGTACATTGTTGATTGATTGGTACTTTACTTATTTTAAATATTTTGATAAATATTTTTAGTGATTTTATTGGTTAATTGTAATATAGTAAACATGAGTCGTAAAGTCGAAATTAATCGTCTCGATAGAGATGAGCTTACTTATGAGTTAGTATATAGAGGTATTAGTACTGGGACTGTTGAGGAAATGAGAGCTCGATTAGCTCTGGCAAGACAAATGGAGAAATTAGGGGAAAGCTTACACTATCCACCTTATCCATTTACATTTCAAGAAGATGTCGATGCATTGACTAAGAAGTTGGATGACATGACACAGAGAGTAGCAGGCTTTGCTGATAATAGCAAAAGCGGATCCTATATGAAGCTACAGACAAAGTTGAATCATGTCTTGGATAGACTAGACCGAATGATTTGTACTACACCGGAAGAGTTTAGTATACGAGCACTACTAGTTGGACAAGCATTCAACTTGATTATCGAACTTAAGGATAAATCTACTAAAGCTGATTGTCAAGCCGCACCTGTACCTTTAAGCCTTTGCGTTTTACAGGATAATCAACAACCGCCGCCTGTTCAGTACAATGCACCAGGACCCAGCACTTCTTTTACAGCTTCTATACCGCCAGCTGTACCTATATCTAGTAGTACACCGTCTGTACCGAATATTTTCTCGAATGCCAAGCTTATACTACCTCATAAATGGAATCTAAAATTCAGTGGAGATGGTAAAGGGATGTCCGTGACTGCATTCTTCGAGAGATGTGAAGAATTGAGCAGAGCCCGAAATGTGACCCCAGAGATATTACTTGAGTCTGGAATTGATCTGTTTGAAGGGAGAGCTTATGAGTTTTATCAAGATTGTAGGACAGAAGTTCAGACTTGGAGTGAACTTGTAACTAGATTTAAAGACGAGTATCAACCAGTCCGATACAAGGAAAAGCTTATGGAGGAGATTAAACGTAGAACACAGGGCCCAGACGAAACTATTGGAACATATATGGCCATTATGAATAGATATTTTCATAGACTGCAATACCCGATCACTGAAGATGCCAAGCTAACCATACTTCTCCGTAACATTGCTCCTGTATATCGAAACCAACTTGGTGCTTTCGAGATATCCAGTCTAGCTCAGTTGAAGACACTCTGTAGAAGGATAGAACACCGTATCCAGACCGAAGATTATGCTCCTCCACTTAGGAAAAATCAATCATTAGAACCAGATTTGGCTTATGTTGATATAAGTCAAGATATCGATGAATTACACGTATCTCCGCCGCAAACCAGTCAGTCAAGTAACATTCACTGTAGTAACCAGAGAGAAGTTATATGTAACCGCTGCAAGAAGCCAGGACACAGAGCAATTGGTTGTGCAGAACCAGCAAAACTGATTTGCTATGGTTGTAAGAGAGAGGGCCACATGAAAAGAGACTGCAGGTTCTCGGGAAACGCAAACAGGCGCTCCTAGGTCTTCGGACTAGAAGTAGCCGTGAAAGACCATCCGAAGATTTTGTACATATTTTAGATTTCGTTTTAAGCCATGCTCGTAATGATGAGAGACCGTATTTAGAAGTAGATATTTTAGGACTTAAGATTTTAGGATTATTAGACTCCGGAGCTTCACGTACATTTGTTGGACAACCAGGATGGAAGATTTTCCAGAAGTTTGGAATACAGTTGGATCCATCCCTTAAGACTTCCTGTACAGTAGCGAATGGTCAGAGAGTGAATAGTATAGGAGCTATTCAAGTACCTATGCGAGTGAGAGACAGGGTTAAGATGATAGATGTCGTAGTTGTGCCTGAGTTGCCCCATGTGTTGATATTAGGGTCTGATTTTTGGATCAAGATGGGAATAGTACCGGACCTACGACAGAATGAATGGCATTTTATGGATAACCCTGATGAGATTAACTGCATAGAGGAACGAGACACAGTTTTAACACCGACCGAAGAAGTCCAGTTGAATAACTTACTGATCGAGTACAAGGATTTAATGGGAGATGGTCTTGGTTGCACCAACGCTGTAGAGCACAAAATAGTTTCGACCGCACCACCGATACGACAGAGATACTACCGAGTTTCACCAGTCATTCAACAGTACATTGACAAGGAAATTGACGAGATGTTGAGACAAGACATTATCGAACCTAGTCAAAGTCCTTGGGCGTGACCTGTAGTCTTGGTGAAGAAGAAGAATACAGAAAAGTACAGATTCTGTGTAGACTACAGAAAATTGAATTCCGTGACAGAAAGAGACAGCTATCCATTACCGCTGGTCTCAGAGACTTTGGACAAATTGAGCAACGCCAAGTACTTGTCTAGCCTTGACATCAAGAGTGCTTATTGGCAGGTTCCGATTGAAGAAACATCTCGTCCTTTAACTGCTTTTATATGCCGCAGAGGATTATTCCAGTTTAAGAGGATGCCATTTGGACTTCACAATGCACCAGCGACATGGCAGAGATTGATTGACAACGTTTTGGGAGCCGATCTTGAACCACACGTGTTCGTATATCTGGACGATGTTGTCATTGTGAGTGAGACATTTGAGGAACACATGGTTATAGTGAGAGAAGTGTTCAGACGCCTGAATGAGGCTAATATAACCGTGAGTTGGGAGAAATGTCAGTTTTGCTGTCCAGATATGAAGTATTTGGGATATGTAGTGGATCAGCGTGGTTTAAGAGTCGATCCGGATAAGGTCAAAGCCATGTTGGAGTTGCCACGACCGAAGAGTGCAACCGAAGTACGCCGAGTGGTAGGATTATTTTCATGGTATTGAAGATTTGTGCCTGAGTTTTCATCTATTGTAGCACCTATCACAGCACTAACGAAGAAGAATCAGAAGTTCGTGTGGACAGATGAGTGCGAGAAGTCTTTTATGAAGATAAAAGAACTGTTAGTAGCTGCACCGATTTTGAGCTGTCCTGATTATACCAAGGAATTTGTTCTGCAAACAGATGCATCTGGGTATGGTATTGCCGCCGTACTCACACAGCCGTCACCTGAAGGAGAGAAAGTAATCTGTTACCTGAGCCGATCACTGACAAAGCAAGAGAGAGTATACTCCACGACTGAGAAGGAATGTTTGGCATTGGTATACGCTATAGAGAAGTTACGACCATACTTGGAAGCTGTACCACTCACTGTGATAACCGATCATTTTAGCTTGAAATGGCTACACACTCTTAAAGAACCGAGTGGTAGGTTAGCACGGTGGGCAGTAAAGCTACAGCAGTATGACTTCAAGGTCATACATCGTAGTTGAAAAGACCTGGTCGTGCCAAATATGCTTTCTAGAGCAGTACCGGTGATTGACGCCATAGAACCATCCAGAGACGATTCAACCCGTCCAAACGTCAAAGATAAATGGTACAATAAGATGGTAGCAAATGTGTGTCAAGAACCTTTGAAGTTTGTCAAGTGGAGATATACTGATGGGAAGTTATTTAAGTATGTCAAGCAAGACTATCCGACTTTGTCAGGGGATACTTGGAAAGAAGTCGTGCCGAAGGAAAACAGATTACAGATAATCCGAGATGCTCACGATCCACCGATTTCTGGACATATGGGTGTATACAAGACGTACAATAGACTTTGCGAGAAGTATTACTGGCCGAAGATGCGTCAAGATGTTGGATCTTACGTAAAGTCGTGCTTGAAGTGTGGAGCACATAAAGATGATCCTCGAGGCCCAAGTGATCAGATGGTATCACACTCGAAACCTAGCCGTCCGTGGGAGATGATTTCAACTGATCTGGTAGGACCATTACCGAGATCATACAAGGGTAATACCTTCATTCTTGTTGTAACAGATTACCTCAGCAAGTTTTCACTTATTTTTCCACTTCGTCGAGCGTCAACGCAGCTTATTATTAACAGGATTGAGGAACAAGTTTTCTTAGTGTTTGGTGTTCCACGAGTACTATTGTGTGACAATGGTCCTCAGTATCGTAGTAAGGAATTCAGAAAGTTTACAGACCAGTACCAGTGCCGAATTAAGTTCAACGCAAATTACCACCCTAGAGCGAATCCGACCGAACGACAGAACAAAACATTGAAGACTATGCTTTCCATCTACACGCATGAAAATCATCGTCGTTGGGATCAAAACATCAATCGTACCAGTCAAATTTTTTCGCATAACAGTCAAATTTCCTCGCAACGACCTCTGTGTGCTAGCTCATAAAATATCGCAAATAGCTATTATTTTTGCATCATGTTTACTATAATTTTATTGTTAAATATTATTTTATTTAAATTTTACAATTATGCAACCCGATATACACCGCGCTATAGAGCCACAGAATATTATCACTGGATGCCGCCCAGCATTAGAATGTTTGTCCATCTCTAAATCTTTGGTCATCACTTGTCCCTTGTCACTGTCAGATCAAATCAGATGTTTTGGATTTATTTATCCTTTGTTTTGGTTATTGAAATTTTATAATTATCAGATAAAATTTCGTAGTTAAATTGGTTATTTTTGATGTGGATCGCAGTGTGCAATTCGTTCATTTAATGGTGGGAATTTGTGAATAAGTTCGTTCATTGACCGGATATGAAATCTGACAATGAAAAATATTCTAGAACGTCGTTTTTTATTTATGCCTTTTTGTGAGTTGGACTAGTCGAGATATATAGTTCTTTATCTATATCCTGGAGGGAGATTTCCGGTTGAAATCTGATTTTGTGAAGGAAATCGAATCCTTGCATGACTTCTTGTGTATCCACCGACTGAAGAGTGTCGTCGTGAAGAACTGGCTGCCGTTTCGTGAAGCATTTCCTGTTGGTAGTTAACAGGTCTTCCCAGAGAAGGATTAAGGCTTCCGAAACACATTTGTTTAGAGACGTGGTTGGATTTTGTTGATTTGTATGGACCACCGACCAATCACCGTAAGGGATTAAACAGCCAAATTTTCCGACCGATATTCCGATTCCACGTGCCCAAGAAGTCCCCGATAGTTCCAAGGTATGCTATAATTCTTCTGCCTAGTCTAAGTCAATGCTCAACTGATTTTTATTCGTATTGTTGACTGGTTTTCGACTTTTCCACGCCCACGTGGTGTAGAAAGATTAGTTGAGTGTTATCTTTCTTAAGTCTTATTTGGTTGTTCGTAATTGTAGAGCAAGAAGACCGATCCAGACCGTAGCACAGAACAGTCCAGAATTCCATCCGTTCCTGTTGCCCGTGTGTAGAGTTACCCATTGGACATCATAAACCCTCGTTGAGGTAAAGTTCAGATTTGATTAGTCCTTCTTTATTACCTTTATTAACTCCTACACGTTGTGCTAGTCCTTGTTCTATAATTGAGGCTCTTTTCTAAGACAACCAATATTATTTAGGGTTTTTTATGTTCACCTCTTGAAGTCCTACACCTGGCTGGCATCCGTACGTCTGCTGACATCCGTGGGCTCCAGTGACAGTACACCGAGCTGCTGTGCACCGCCGTAGCCACCCTGTAGCTATACACCGTAGCTCAGCCGGAGGAACTTCCGAGTTGTTTCAAGATTGTACATCGATTAGAGTAAGACTGTTTAGATTTAGATTTGCTTATTGTAAACCACCCTGTTTGTATCTAGTATTAAGTTAGATAAGGGGGTTTGACGTCATAGGTTTAGTACTTATTGATTTAAATTTCATTTAACTTTACATTTCATTTAACTTCAATTTCATTTCTTTAAATATAAACTTTTTGATATTTTAATAAATTGCTTAAATATTTTTAGTAGTATTATTTACAGTCTGGTCTCATAGTTAAGTTAGAGTCACTTAAGTTTAACGAATTGTAGTAATATTTGAAGTTCATGGTAGTTGCACTCAACAGTTCGAGGTTAGTGTTGAAGTCTACTTAATAGTAACAATAGTATAATCTCGTGGCGCCCTTTTATTAATATCTTTGAACCCCGACCACCCGGGTGTTAAAATTAAAAAGCTAGTGGCCTCTATGTAACTCATTCAGATTAAGTAAACTTTGTGTTTTAATGAACTTCGAATAAGAAAGGGTGTGGCAGCTTACAAAACGGTTCAGTACAATAATTTTTTACATTAATTTAAATAATATGATTCATATTTCTCCGGTCAGACAAAAAAGGCAGCAGACAAAAAAAATCAAAATAATTTTCATTTAAATTTAGTTTTATGATTAAACTGATATATTAATGTATTAATATATTAACCAAAAGATGTTATCGTGGGGACTATAATAAAAAAGAAGAATGAAATTATTGGGCAACCTACAGTAAGATTAGCCACGAAATATGGCTAAAATAAGACTACCAACACCAAGTGTTTCTGCCTTCCGGCTTCATCAATACGGGAGGAATCAGCAACGATGAACTGCAATCCTGAAAAAAGAAAAAGGGGAAGTAAACGAGGTACTAGGCACCATTTCCAACCTGGTTAAGCAGTAGCTCACAATTCGCAAGCGTTACTACCAAAAAACCGCTGCGGAGGTACTTCAACATACCTCGCCGCTATCACCTTGGCCCGGAGAAAACAATAAACAAAAGATGTTATCGTGGGGACTATAATAAAAAAAAAGAATGAAATTATTGGGCAACCTAGAGTAAGCTTCCCCTTTTTCTTCTTTCAGGATCGCTAGTTCATCGTTGCTGATTTCTCTCGTATTAATGAACCCGGAAGGCAGAAACACTAGGTGTCTACGGGTAATCGTATTTTAACCATGTTTCGTGGCTAATCTAGGCCTCATGATTGTGACTCATCTTAAATATTCATTGGGGGGTGATGCTGTACGCGTTTGCGAATACAAATCGCCTATTTTGCCATTCGGGGAGGTATTTATTAGATTTCGGAAGGAAGAAAAATTAAATACGGAAGGTTTACGGAAAATTTTCGGAACGGGCATGGAAAAAAATGGAAAAAACAATTAACGGACGGAACGTTAACGCAGCGGACACGGAAGGTACACAGAATGTATACCGAACGGTTACGAAAGATTGACGGAATGGATACAGATCGTTGACGGAATGGATACAGATCGTTGACGGAACGAATACGGAACGTTGTCGGAACAAATACGGAACAGATACGTTAACGGAACGGATGCGGAAAGGATATTTTTCCGTATAAATTACTTGTATTCACACTAAAAATTGATTCTCACTATACCTTCCGTTTCCATTCCATATCCATTCCATATTGTCTAAAACGTATTGAGAGAAAAAACGTAGCAGATTCAGAAGGTATAGTGAGAATCAACCTTTATGCTTTTACAAATTTCCATACCGTTTTAGATATAATTAAAAAATAGCTTGAAAATATAGTTGAATTTTTTTAAGTCCTAAAAATCAAAAACGCGTTTCTATGGTAATATAATTTCCTTTTCATTCTTTGATAAATTGTTATTGTAAGGCGATTTCGATTTCATTCTTTCCTATGAAAGTCCATCTATGGTTATTATTAATTTTGATTGTCATATTTTTTGCTATTGTAAAAGTAACACATTTTCCGATAACTATTATCATCCTTTCCGTAGCATTGATATAATAAAGTTTGTGTTTCTTTAACAATTTAGAATAGCAACAAATATTACGTTGATTAAAAATTTATGAATAAGAATCAAAGAATGAAAACGAAGTTATATTACCATAGAAATGCGTTTTCATTTTTAGGACCAAAATTCAACGATATTTTCATGTTTTTGTTAGTTTTCTCTAGCGGTATGGAAATTTAGAAAAGTATAAACGGGATTAACAATTTTACTACATTAACTATCCGTTCCGTTTCCGTACCGTTTGTATAGTAAAGTTCCGTAGTTCTATATTAAAGTTTATGGATATGGAGACGGATACGGATCGGATACAGAACGGATCGGAACGGACACGGAACGTGTGGAACGGATACGGAGCGGACACGAAACGGATACCGAACGGGTACGGAACGGACACGAAACGGATACGGAACGGATACGGAACGGACGCGGGATGGACACGGAACAGACGTGGAACGTATACGGAACGGACGCAGAACGGATACGGAACGGATACGGAACGGATACGGAACGGATACGGAACGGATACGGAACGGATACGGAACGGATACGGAACGGATACGGAACGGATACGGAACGGATACGGAACGGATACGGAACGGATACGGAACGGATACGGAACGGATACGGAACGGATACGGAACGGATACGGAACGGATACGGAACGGATACGGAACGGATACGGAACGGATATGGAACGATGAAAATTTGAGCCATACAGGACGAGTCTTGAATAAGTGCAAATATTTTAAGGGCTTTTTTTTAATATTTTATATCTCGATAAAAGAAACTATTTTCCCTTTACCGTTTTTTTCCTCAATAACTCCTCAAATAACTCCAAAATAACCGAGTTATTTTATTTTAAAAATTTTCCAAGAAAAATATTTTTTGTTTAAATTTTTAGAACCACTGGAGCTTTTCGGGTTTTTCTGTCTGGTAATTTATTCTATTTACCAGACTAATTTATTCTATTTACCTCTTTTTTAATTCTTAACTACCTATGTTCCCATATTATCAAGAAATTAAAAGTTTTTCAAAAAATTCCAAATTTTCCAAAAAAAATTTCGTGAAGAAACTCATAATCGTGTTTCTGTGGTCTAAATATACTACCGCTAAAAATAATTGCACTTATTTACGCCTTGCCCTGTATCATCATCATCACATCATCAACCAGCCTGAAGTGTCCACTGCTGGACGTAGGCCTCCCTCAAATCCTTCCACTTTTCGGTCCTGTGCCACTTGGATCCAGTTTCCCCTAAATCTCTTCAAGTCATCTGACCATCTTGTCGGAGGTCTGCCTCTGTTTCTGAGAGAATCTTGTCTTGGCCGCCATTCTAGTATTAGCTTGGTCCATCTATCATCCGTTCTTCTGGCAATATGCCCAGCCCAGTTCCATTTGAGTTTTTTAAGCAGATATATAGCATCTGTTATTCGTGTATGCTGTTTTATAACTGTACTTCATACTGGGTATCTTGTCTCTTAGAGATACACCAAGCATTGCTCTTTCCATAGCTCGTTGGGCCACACGGATTTTTTCCATGGACTTTTTCGTCAGTGTAAGTGTCTCTGCGCCATATGTAAGTACTGGCATAACGCACTGATGGAACACCTTCCTCTTTAAGCACATTGGTAGATCTGATTTTAACACATATCTTAGTTTGCCGAATGCTGCCCATGTTAGTCCTACTCTTCTTTGTATCTCGTGCGTCTGGTTATCGCGGCCAATTGTTATTTCGTGCCCCAGATATTTATATGAATATACTTGTTCTATATTTGCTCCGTCTACCGAGACATTTCCACTAATAACAAGATTAGTCATTAGTTTGGTTTTTGAATAATTTATGCGTAGTCCAATTTGATCTGACGCCCGTTTAAGTGTTTTTAGCATATTTTGAGCTTCGTGTATTTTGTCTGTAATCAGCACCAAGTCATCAGCAAAACGCAGGTTATTGAGCATTTCCCCGTTAACATTAATGCCCATTTCCTCCCAGTTTAGTCTTTTGAACATATATTCTAATAGTGCTATGAACAATTTGGGGGAAATTGTATCGCCTTGCCGTACTCCTCTTTTAATACGGAATTTATTTGTGTTTTCGTGTAGCGATACAGATGCTGTTGCATGGTCGTATATATATTTTAAAAGGTTAGTATAACGGGTGTCTATACGACATTCGGCTAGGGCCTTGAATAATTTGTGTTGATCGATAGAGTCGAATGCCTTTTCGTAGTCGACAAATATTAAAATGAGGGGTTTATTATACTCAACACATTTTTCTATTAGGGACTTCACCACCAACAGATGGTCATTTGTACCGAAGTTCGATCTAAATCCAGCCTGTTCTCTTGGTTGATATTGTTCTAGTTTTAGGGAGAGACGATTTGTGAGGATTTTTGTGAATAATTTGTATGTGTGGCTCAGTAAACTAATAGGCCGATAGTTGGTAAGGTTTGTTTTGTCCCCTTTTTTATGTAATAGGATTATATTGGCATTATCCCATTCTGATGGCGTTCTTCCTTCGACAAGACATTTGTTGAATAATATTTGCAAAGCCTTGAGAACCTTTTCTCCTCCTTCTTTAATGGCTTCAATAGCTATATTGTCGTCACCGGGAGACCTATTATTTTTCATAAAGTTTAATGCCGCCGATATTTCATCTAAAGTAATATCTGGGATTTCTTCTGAGCCTTGATTCATCACAGTTGGTATGGTACTATACGAGTTTCTAGGGTTTGGGTTGTCATATAACTGCTGGTAGAAATTTTCCGTAACACGCAGAATATCTGCTCTATTTGATGTTATCTGTCCTTCTGCATTTTGCAATTTATGAATTAATGCTCTCCCTATGGTTGCCTCTTCATTTCTCTCAATGAGTTGCTTTATTTTGTTGGTATTGTGGGTTCTGATGTCTTTCCTTATCTCTTTTGATATTTTCTTGTTAAGTTTCCTATAATCATCTGAGTGTTTGTTTATCATAACTCTACGTTGCTTTATCAGATCTTTAATGTTTTGGGTTGGTTTTGTGTTTCCCTGATTATCCTTTTTAGGGCAATTTTCTTTAATAGCTTGCGTTAAAATAATTACAATGTGATTATTTATATCTTCAATTTCCATATTTTCCATTCTTTCCAGATTTCCTAAATTCTCAGCTGCCATTGCTCTATATTCTTCTGGCTTTTCTGGTGTTACCCATTTTCTCATGTCCTCTTCCTTATCATTTTTCGTCGTTCAGATTTAAGGTTGAATTCAATTCTAGTTCGAACTATTCGGTGGTCACTTCCTATGGAGAATTCGCCCAATACTTGTACATCCCTAATTATCCATTTTTTATCAGTCATGATGAAATCTATCTCGTTCTTGGTAATTCCGTCCGGACTTGCCCAGGTCCATTTTCGATTTGGATGTTTCTTAAAGAAGGTGTTCATTACATATAGTCCATTTTGCAGCGTGAATTGGATCATTTTCGCTCCTCTCTCATTTCTTTCACCATAACCATATGTACCCACGCATATTTCTGTTTCATCTTCTTTTTGTCCAGCTTTAGCATTAAAATCACCCATTAATATTGTAAATTGGGATTTGATTGATAGAGCTTTGGAGACGTCCCAAAAATATCTATTTCTTCCTCCGTGCTAATTTGACGTTGGGGCATAGACTTGTACAATTTTTAGAGAGTAACGGTTATTCAAACGAAGGGTTAGGTATATGACTCTAGGACTGATGCTTCCAATGTCTACGATGTTCTTAATATGCCTCTTGTTAATCAGAAAGCCTACACCGCCCAGAGCATATTCGTTATTTCCCTGATGATAAAGAAGGTTCCCAGATTTCAATTCTATTTGTTTTTCGGTCTTTCTTCTTACCTCACTTAGACCCACAACATCCCATTTTATATGTTGTAATTCTTCCTCCAATTCCAATAATTTCTCATCCCTTGACAGGGTTTGAACGTTAAAAGTGGCAATATGCAGTTTTCGTCTATTAAGGTAACCTGGTCCACTCCGGGGATTCTTAGCACCCTCTGCTCTTTTCCTTACTCGGCCGCTACCATAGTCCTGGGAGTTTGAGCTGCAGGAGACTGAGGGCCGTATCATGGAGGACGTTTCCATAGTTAAGGGGGAATTGGCTATACTCTACCACGCTGGCCCTGCGGGTTGGTAGAGGGTAGGGGGATAAGGTAGGATAATTGGTTGGAATAGGGTAGGATAAAGGGTTTGGGACATGATTCCCCCTAAAGGAGGTAGAGGAAATCATGGCTTGCGTGGCCAGGGGCGCATTCCTGAAGTAAACCTATCCTCCACCGGGATCGTGAAGAAGTGCCTACCCGCTACCCGATTGCCCTGTATATCCTTTCAAAAAATCGATTTTGTTATTTTTGACTAAAACCTAAGTCGAAGTTTTGCAAAATCTGTAAAAAAAAAATCTCTCGAAAAACATAAATAGTGAAATGATTATGTACCCTCTATGGTTAGAACCCTACCTATGGTTCCATATAAACTGTATTGCTAAAATAAATAGCTCTGACAAATAAAGTTTTCAATTGAATATTTGAAGTTTTCAATTGTGGCTTACCTTGATACTCCCCGGATTTTTTTTTATTTTTCAAGAGCACTAATATACTCTTTATATGTTATTTTTTATTCCTAGAAGGATGATTTGAAGAAGAAATATTTCGTTCATATTATTGATGTCTTGAAGAAGAAATATTTCTTTCATATTTTGATGTCAATAAATAAAAAAACCCTTGTATAAAATCTTATACTTCTAGATGTTATAGTAATGCATTTTCATACAGCAAACTTTAATTTTTTCTACATTCTAGGGGTATGAATTTCATAAATTCGCTTTGTCCAAATAATTAACTCATGTGTTTTAAAAGATCCTTTGTGCAAATTTTTATGTGTATAATCCAGAGGCCACCAAGATGATTTATATATGTTACTGTAAATCTCCGAAATGCGGTAAAACCTGGGATTTACCAAAAGCAAGTAGTAGTAAAAACCAACCAACCCCACCAAATAACCACCTAACCAATACATTAACACCCCCCAAATAACCAGGCTAACCAATGCATTAACACCCTCCAAATAACCAGGGTAAACAATGCATTAACACCCTCCAAATAACCAGGCTAACCTAATTAGTTAATGCTTTTGGTAAATCCTAGGTTTAGCGCGCTTATCCTAGATTTTACCGCATTTCGGACATTTACAGTAGCATATACATTCTCACTAACTTTACCCATGCGGTTGATGAATTTCAAAAATCTCTTCTAATTCTTTCTGTAGAATTTCATTCTTCTAGACCACACACAGATAGTAAGGAATTTTCATACAACAAATTGTTCGACATAATTTTACACTCTAAGAGGATGAATTTTCTAAAATCGCTTTACGTAGCTAATTCACTAATCACTAATATCATTTAAACGAACCTTTGTGCTAATATTTATGTATCTAAAGCTGGCGGTATGAACTGGCCCCTAAAATATCTAAAAACTTGATATATAATCTAACTGACACACCACTGACAATGATAAATAATTTATTTCTGGAGGTATGTGTGTAGGTGTTTTTCAGGGATGTTTTAATATTTATTCGTTTTACATAAAGAAATAGCGATTAAACGATATGAAAATACTTCATAACAAATCTAGACATATATATCTTTCATTTAAAAAAAGAATCATCAAGATTGGTAATGCGGTTTCGGCGGGATGGATGTAAAAAAACCCTTTGAGCTTTTATATAATGTTGCGGACCCGTGTGAACTCGACCTAACCTAACTATATGTCCCGCCCTCAGATGACCTTAATATCGCATTAAAGAATAGACACCGTAATGATTCATTCGTTCGAGAAGAATCGAGACCCACTGGAATGGACTAGTACATACGAGAACATTCGAAAACCTTCTCTACGCACCTAACGATCTATGGACTATTCTAGAGTTCTTTACCTGTCGGTATAAAAGCCGGCGGTTCTGGCCTACAGGGGGCAGTTATAAATATACCAGTGCAGTTGACGCGCTAAAATTCAAAATAAATTCTTAGTTATAAATCGTTTGTAAATAGTTCTATAAGTCTTTTATCGTTATTGTTTTTGTTAATTAGTGTTAAATAAATAGTGTTTAAATAAATTGTGACTTTCTATCCACACGGAACCGACGAAAAACGCAACAATTGGTGTCAAGTGTGGCGTGTGTGATAGACCAGGAAAATAAAAAGACAGACAATGGCTCCGAAAAAATTGTTGAAAGACTTGAAACTGTCGGAATTAAAATGTATACTGGAAGAGAGAGAGTGCGAGACAGATGGAAAGAAAAGCATTTTGCAAGCTAGACTGAGAGACGTTTTGGTGGAGGAATGTGAGGATCCTGACACATTTTGCTTTGAGTTGGAAGGTGACCTTGACTCGTCCTTACAAAAATTAGACGACAACTTGAACAATTTGAATAGTAAAATAATTGACTTGGAAGTTAATTTAGAAGAGAAAATCAGTGATAAAATTAATATTTTAGAAGATAAGATCGCAGAAAATTCTAAAGACATACAGGCCAGCTTTAATAATAAAATACTTAATTTAGAAGAAAAGATAACAGAAAATTCCAGGGAATTAGAAGAAAAGATTATAGAGAATTCTACGGAGCTACAAGACAAAATAACACAAATTGAGGACGATGTAAATAAAAAAATCGAAATTTTAAAACAAGAAATAGCAAAGGCAAATTCACCAAAATATCAAGAAACATCGGAGGCACCGAAACTAGTCGAAAATAAATATATCTCAAAGTCAGTTATTAAGCCTCCACAGTTTGACGGAAAAACCGCTTGGGCCAATTATTTTTGCCAGTTTGAGGCCGCTGCGAGAGCGAACGGATGGACAATCGCTGAAAAGGCTACCGCTTTGACTGTCGCACTGCGAGGAGATGCGACTGATATCCTGCAGACATTGTCACCATCGGAACAGGGAGATTATCAGCAATTGGTACGACATTTAGAAATGAGGTACGTCCAAGCTCATTTGGAACATGTCTATCATTTTCAGCTAAAAAATCGCATTCAAAAGTCAAATGAGTCTCTGCAGGAGTTTGAAGCCGACGTAGCCCGCCTCGTTCGCCTTGCGTACCCTGCTACACCAGAGAATGTTATGGAGCGGTTGGCAGAACAGGCATTCTCCGACGGCTTTCGTGACAACGAGACAAGACAAGCACTTCTCCTAGCCCACCCAACGCACTTGGTGGATGCTTTAGCACGTGCCCTAGAATTTGAGGCCGCGAAACAAAGTTCTCGGTCTTTAGGAAGAGTACGGGCCATCGACGAATGTTCCGACGAATCCGTGGAAGGGATTGTTCGGAAGGTAATGGACCAGTACATGGGCAAGAAGGGACCGATTCGTCGAATGGTCGAAATGAAGGGGCACACGTCGACCTGTACCCAACATGCCCCAACGAAAACTGCTCAAGTCGCCTCGCTACAACACAAATTCATCAGCATTTTTGTGGATGGTTTTGTTGATGGAGAGTTCCGGACCATGCTGTTGGATACAGGTGCGACGAAAACTATCATCAGACCGGACATTCTTAAAACATCGAAGAAGGTTAAAACAACACAATGGCGACTACGTACTGCTACGGGGGCTCCGCTGCTGTCCATGGAGAAGTAAACCTTAATTTTGTTATTGGGAGCACCAGTTTTGAACATCCAGTGTTAGTAGCAGACATCGAAGATGAACTTATTCTCGGAATGGACATCATGACCACTAGAGGTTTTGAGCTAAACCTCAAACAAGGAATTTTGAAAATAAATGAAGAAGAAGTGGTTCTGCATCGAAAATGTGAGGAGACGCTTCGCGTGGTGGTAGCAGAAGATGTTTCGATCCCTGAGCGCTGTGAGATATTTTTGGATGGTTGCCTAGAAGGTAAAATGAATAATGGGAGTATTATTCTGTTGGAGCCAAGGAACCATGACAGCGAAATAGGACGAGGGATCGCTGTTGGAAAAGCCCTGCTACGAGCGAAGAAAACTGTACCGGTGAGAGTAATGAACACGAATTATTATTCTGTATCCTTGAAGAAGGGAACCCTCTTAGGGTACTGTTGTTCGGTCTCCTCAGTCGTTCGAAGCGTGGAAGCCTCCAAAGTTTCGACTTCAAAAATTCCGGACAAAATGGTGAAGGAGTTAGTAAACGTTAAAGGATTATCTCCCGAAAATAGAAGAAAATTGAGAAACCTGATAATCAAGTATCAAGATGTGTTTGATAAAGGAGAAGCAGGACAGAGAGGTCGTACCAATTTAGTACAACACAAAATTGATACCGGAGATGCACGACCAATCAAACAAAATCCGAGAAGACTTCCGCTCGCCAAACGTGAAGAAGCTGATAAAATCCTTCGAGAAATGAAAGAAGAGGGTGTCATCGAACCATCTAACAGCCCGTGGACATCGCCGGTAGTACTAGTAAAGAAGAAAGACGGTACCACCAGGTTCTGTGTTGATTATCGGCAGCTCAATAATGTTACCAAGAAGGATAGTTATCCCCTGCCGAGGATAGACGATACTC